TGCTGAAGGGCTGAAGACCTCTCCCGTCTTTCAAGCCCGCAGAAAGGCAACTGAGCCCCTCGGGGATCTTGGCATTCTCCAGGCGATGCGCTGCCAGCCGAATTCCTGCCCGGCCCAGGCTTCTTCCGTGCCAGGGACCCCAGAGGCTGGGGCTGCCCCGCCATCAGCGCTGTGGGGAGATGCCTGCAGCTGCCAGGCACTGACTCTGCTCTGGTCCGCGGCAGGGACACAAGCCTGGGTTTGTTGTGGTCACAAAGGTGCCATTCAAGTCCAAGACGGGCACTCGGGAGCGATGGAATAGCAGATGTGGGTCAGGCCCTGGCAAAGCGCGTGGAGTCTCATCACAGGGAGCCTCTCAAAGGCAGGTTTCCATGAGAACACCTCATAGCTGCAGGTGCAGCTGGTACCTATTCTCTGTTACGCCGTATGAAGCAACTCCTGAGCTGACACCAGACCCAGGAGCTGAAGATCAACGGCTCATTGCCTGACACCGGAGCCTTGTTCAGGCCACGCTGCGGCTCCCTTGTAGCTATGAGACTGGGGTAAACATCAGCCGAGAATGTCATGGCCTCTGTGGTTTCCTCCTCCCTTGGGGGTTTAGCTTCACCTTTCTCATTGCAGCCCTGTGTCCTGCTGCTGTAGGCTAAGTGAGGTGGTATAGGAGTCTTATAAGGCACAGGCTGGATGATGCCTTCAGGGTGATGCTGTTGCCGCCGGTTCTTTGCTGTGTAATGTGTGGTGGTTTTCCAACAATTCCCATCTCCTGGGGGCAGATGCTGATGTGAGGATCTGAGCTCACAGGAATCCCCGGCTCTAAGCCTGGTCATTAATGTTCCCTTCTGACCTTAGTACCTCTGTCAGCGACGTTTCCCCCTTTCTTGTCACGGGGCTGTATGGGCAGGGGACAAATAGCCTGTGATCTGGGAGCCTCTGGGCAGGCCTCTATAGTTAGGGGAATCTCCCTCTCTGGCTTCCCTGCTGAGATGGCTGTCCGGTGCCAGGGACCATGTCTTCCAGCCTGGCCAGTGCCATCTGAACCAGCGACAGCCTTTAGGGGTGCAGGGAAGCAGCAGCCTCCCAAGATCAACCTGTGTCTTTTGTCAGGCTACTGTGTTGAGGTCTGCCCAGAGATCCTGTCTGGGGGGAGTCAGCTTTTAATGGGCATGAATCCAAATGCCGGTGCCTTCACCTCTGTCTGGTGCAGTGCCCTTGGCTGTCACGAGAGGGCACCATCTCCTCTGACAGGGAAGAGCCTGTAAATCCATAGTTTCCCAGGCCAGAAGGGCCTGTTGCAATAATTATATCCTGTCCCCGGCCCAGCTCTGGGGCACCCAGCTCTGTCTGACAGGCCCTAGGGACAGGGGCATCCCCAGGTGAGGTGCACTGGGGGCTGATCCCCCTAACTCCTGCAGACTAGACTGTATATGGCTGAGGCGTTTGTGCCCAGGGCTGGGATGGGGCAGCTCTCTGCCCTGGGATGCACTGGAGCAGGCGCTCGCTCCAGGGTGGCTCGAAGGAGCACACGGGGCCCCCCTCCCAACAAGGAGCACAGGTGAAAAGACATTTTGCTTCTGGCACATCCCAGCTGGCTGCCCTGCTACCTCCCAGCTCTCTTGGCTTGTCGGCTTTACTAGCTCAGTATTGCAGGTCTGCCCTTCAGGGCTTCCTGCCTGCTGCGCCCTCTCTTTGGGGACCTGGGTGCTCTGGGCCTTTCCCAGATGTCATCAGAGGCTCTTCATAAGGAGATGAAAACTCAACAGAGCCCATGGAGCAGGTGGGGAATCTGGGCAGTGGGAGATGCTGCCTGTTTGGGCTAAGATCTCTCCGGGGTTTTGAGGCAGAGTAAGCCGTGTTGGCCTGAGGGTCCCCTTCCCAAGCCCGTGAGAAGTATTGCCGTAGTCGAGTGGGTCCTGGCACATCCTGGGGAGGCAGCTGCTGCAGATCAGAGCTTGCTGGTAGCTTGGCTCTCCTTGTCCTGTTCAGCTGCTGCCAGCCTGTTCTGCCGCGGTCCATTTCCTGCAGCGCCTCATGGCTCCCCTTGGCATTTTGGGTTCTTTTCCCTGGAGATGTCACTGACCCCCTGGCTGGGGTTGTCTCCTCCAGGGCTGCCATTACCACGTTCTTGTCCCTCAGGTAACCAAATGGTGCTGAGAGGTTGAGTTGTCTCTTCCTTTCCCCCTCACAGGCAGCGGCATCGCCATGAGGAAGCTGTGTGAGCTGCAAGCTGGGGAGAAGTGCTGTGTGGTGGGAACTCTCTTCAAGTCCATGCAGCTGCAGCCCTCCATCCTGCGAGAGATCAGTGAGGAGGTAATGGCTGGGTGGCATTGCCGGAGGGTATTCAGAGGTATGACTGGCACCAGCATGGCCCAGAAGCATGTTTCTGAGAAACATTCCATTGAGTTCTCAGCTTCTCAAGCGCCTTATCTCCTGTCTGCTCTTAGCACAGGGGACAGGGAGGAGCAGAATGCATTCAGAGCTGCTCTGGATTTGTCCCCTCATTCAGGGAATCTGGACACATCCCCCTTCTCTCTCTGAAAGCTCTGCACTGGCTGCTACCACCCTAATGCCCTGTTCCCACTGGTCCAAAGAGAACAGAGGACCTGGGGCTCAATTAGCCTGTTTGTTTAGCAGCACAGAGGGAAATGCTTTAAACAAGGACACAAGTGTCAAGTTACACATTCTGTCAGGGTACAGAGGGGACCTCTTACCCCAGGAGTCCCTTTTTTTAGAGTCTTTGACCCTTTGCACATGCTCCTAAGTGTGTTGTTGAGGCTGACTCTGTCTGACCTGGTGTCTCTGAGGGCCCTGTGCCAGCTGTGCTGGGATCTCGTAGGCCTCCCTCTCATAACAGACCTGTGCACCCCTTGCTTTTCCTCTGACTGGAATTGGCTCCTTTCCCGTCAGGTGCTTGTGACTGGTTGTATTCAATATCCTCAAGCTGCATTCCTTCAGTGGCTCTTTAGCCATAGGACTTAGTTCAGCTGGGGGAAAGGTTATTACACCACCAACAGATCTACACATGTGTGTCTTACCTGGCATCCTAGCGAGGTCTGGGCCTCCTCTGGGCCTTGTCCACCCACTTGTAGAGCCCTGTGGGGATATGACTGGGGTCTGTGTGCCTTTTAAATCCTTACACCTTTGATGGACTCACCAAACAGTCAGCACCGGGCTGCCAGCAGATGCCTGCTATGGGAGGATAGTCCTGGGATGCTGTCCCATAGACCAGTGAACTCCCTTGGTGCATTAAATCCGTGCTGTGCATCTGGTGTCCAATCACAGACCAAACGCCCAGAATGCGCTGGGTTCATCAACCTGTGGATAGTGCTAGCTCCTTTAAAATAACCCAGT